CTTGAATGAGTTAAGGTTATTATTATTCTCTTTTAACAAGTTACAATTATTTGTGTCAGCATCATTGCTAGTGTTGCTAATGGACTGAATCATGACTTCAATATCTTATGATTGATTGCGCCGTATTTAACTTCACAGAGTAGTTGAAACTTCCAGACAAAGACTCTTTTTACAAGTTACAATTATTTGTGTCAGCATCATTGCTAGTGTTGCGCCATATATAACTTCACAGAGCAGTTGAAACTTCCAGACAAAGAGAGAAGGAACAAGATCCTCCTAGATGCAGCAATTTAGAGCTTCACTCATGCATCAATATGGACCACTAACATACTACATTCTAAGTTTTTGACAAGAAATGATTGCTTTCTTCTTTCTTCCATGTTGTCAATTAGTAAGCAGTACAGTTTTGTATTTCCCGAAACTAAGAAAGAAAAGACATTACTTATACAAGTAAGACATTCCTGAACTTCACATTGACTTTCTATTAAGCAAAATAGAGCCACAATTTAACTTTTTTCCAAGTAAAACTTACAACTCAAACTTATGTCATAGAGTAGGACAAAATAAAAGAAAATGATACCCAAATACAAGACAACAATCAATAATGTGGACTATCAATACTAAGATCATGTGCATAATGGACCTGATGATATTGCTAACAACTTATAAGGCTTATAATAATTAATACCTTATAACATATCAGAAGAGTGACAAATGGTCTATCAAATTCATTCACAACACTTAAATTCTCAATAAAATCTTAATTCTCCGGACAAGTGGTGCTTCATATAAGGTCAAAGAAATTTCAAAGTTATAACAACTCGAGGGAATGGAATTCCTTTTAAAACGACACCTCAATAGTATATTGGTCGGACATTCACAATTTAGTATCCACAGTCAAAGCTTGTGAGCTCACAGGAAATAAGAAATGCATAGTAAAAGCTCATCAATAGAAATTGATAAGGCAACACAGAAAATCTCCTCCTACAATACATCCTCTCACTATCCATAAGGTGCTCAATGTTTATCCTTGTTCCACATTACCAAGAACCAAAACTGCATCAAGTATAAGATAGTGCTTTACTCAACCAATAAAGGAGTCATCACTGACATCTCGATCTCAGTCAAAATTCAAGAACTATTGAAGCAAATAAGGAGAGAATTTGATTGTACTCCACAAGATGGACCAACTAACTTTTAGAGTGATAACATATACGTCAAAACAGACCTTGAACAACCATTTCTGTCTTCCATTGCTCAAATGCACAATGGAAGGCCCTACTTTCCTCCTCGTTTTTAAATTGAATGGAGATTCCCCTGGAATAGCCTGTCTGGTTCAAAAGACCAAAGTCAATGCCATTGGACATTAATATGACAGCAACAAACTTCACAACATTAACTCCAATGAAGTATAAATAAGATGCACCTTCAACTTTCCCCGTAACAGGATAAGGTAAAGTTATAACAGTAAAATGGACGCATACACATACATACTGACTCGTTTCAATATTAAGATGGACATAAATGTGCACTATTACATGTTTTCAGCCATACACAGTGTTGCTTAAAGGAGCATGAAACTGGTAAACGTTTAGTAGTTAATTAATCAAAACTACTACAATCAGTGCTGGCTAATTTTTGTGCCAATATAAACAAGAAATTGGTCCCTGATTTGACTTATTCTTTCTTTCATATGAATGTAAATACGTATGTAGCATTCAACACAGAAAATTTTGTCATCTTTGAAGATGGTATAACATCTCTAGAAATCGTCCTCATGCAAACAGGAATTTAAAGCATTTCAACTATAAACAGATTAAAGACAACTAGTTTGTCCAAGCATCAAATATTTTATGCTATCAACAGGTACCTCCTTATTGTCTTCAAAAACTTCAGATATGCACAGAGATTCTGCAGATCCTAGCCTGAATAACTGGAAATACAATAGCAGAAGCAAAATTAAGATAATGTCCCTATCAAGCGCATGTAACAAACAAGTTCCAAAGGAAAATCAGTAAAAATGTCATCTCTTCTGTCCTATCCTCCATATTGTTTAATTTTCAGCTAAAAACACAGATAAACTCATGTAAACAACTGTCATTCTAGTTTGCTGCTAGAAACACGAGAGAAAACATGATAGCCCAAAAATTACCGCACTCTCACATTTAACTAAACAGGTATAGCTCGAGTGTCTCCCAACACACAAAGAACTACTGTATCCACTAGAGTACAAGTGTGAATTAAGCATGATTATAAATAACGAGCACTCTCACTGTCTCACATGTAATTAACAGATATAGATATAGAATTTCCCCGCATGCAGAGTAACTACTGCATCCATTTCGAGTATACAACTATATACTAAGCTTCAACTATTTATAGTACAGTACGTCAACCTATTTAACAAAATTCACCTCTGATCAGTAACAAAATGCATAAAATTAACATGAAAAACCAAAATACTACTAAATTAATAACAATCGAATTTCAATTTGCTCATGCAAACCGGATTAGCATATGTAAATTCAATTACATGCCTGTGAAGCTCGAAGATTGATCACAATGTCGGCACCGGATTGAGACTCCTGTCCAAATCGGAGCTCTGGAGCTCCAGAACCCGAACCAAACCGAGCAAAAACCGGTTCCGATTTTGAAAACGAAGTAGATGAAGAAGATGAAACCTCCGAAATCGATAAAACCACAAATTCGTTTTCCTTCACAGTAACCTCCATTAACGCTGATTTTTTTCCTTTCTTTGCTTCAATTTCTGAAACGAAACCTTCGGATATTCTCTCTTCTCAGTGAAATCAATCAAATTATGATCTGTTCTTCATGGAGAAATGAATTAGGGTTTTCAGTAGAGAGTGTGTAGAAGGTCTTGAGTGTGAAGTGAGAGTGTTGAATGTGCCGCTTCATGAGACGGAAAGGTATATATAAAGGTTCTGTGGGCATGAATTTGATGATTCGGTGTGGACGGTGACAGGGGAATAACGTACAACTGTGATCCTTGAAGAACCATTTGAGACGTTTGATTTGACCTCTAGTGGGACCAATGGCGGAGTCAGGATAAAATTCGACATATAAATATTGTTCTAACTATGTATAAATGGTATAATTTTCCACGGTCCGCCCCTAGTGGGACCCATTGTACTGCTCTATGTCCCAAATTTATGTGTTATATTTTAGATTTTTATATTTAAATTAAAAATAATTATAATATTTTTAAATATTTTAATTTATTAATTATTGTAATACGTAGTTCTTTTACATAATTTCTTAAATATGTAACTTCATTTCAAAATTTAAACATTTCATATCTAAATTAAATTATTTGGCTCTCAAAATTTGAATTGTGTCATATAAATTAGGATCTATTTAAATTATTGTTATGTAATGCTTTATAATGTATGATGTCATATATTATTTTGATGAATATAATATTTAGAAAGATAAATTCTAACATTTTTACATAACATTTCACGCCAATAATTTTAAGAATAAACCTATAGAAACAATAGAGTATGAGATAAAACTATTATAAACAAGGCCTATAAACAATAAGATAAGTGATAAAATAGAAATGTTAAATAGTAAGTAAAAATAAAATGGAGAGAGAGAAATAAGGTAACAACACATTACACCAAAAGTCTAACTTTAGACTTTTCGTTGTTACCTAACAATAGATTTAGCGATGGAAGTAACAATGTATTCAAATAGGTTTTCAAGCACATTTACTTTTTATACATTACAAAACTGATATTAGGTAGATGAATTGTGCAAAGATGCACTAGATACATTATAATTACACAAGATACATGTGTGCCTTCTTGGAATCAATTCGTAACTATATATGGATACATTAAATATTTAATATCATATACATGTATTTATACACAAATATAATAAATAGTTAATATTATCTGTAGAAATTAGTATGGAATACATAATGAAATTGATTTTAGAAATACAAATACACAAAATTGATACTAGTTTGTAAAACTCATATACATTCTAAAATATGAAAAAATAAGAAGAGAGACAAGCAAAAGAACAGAAAAACAAATAAAAGAGTCAGTATTTTTCGTATACATACAAATCACACTTGAATAGAATATATAGACAAATTACACCTAATTTGACAAGTATATATCTGAGATATGAAATCTGTCAAATACATTATATTTAGCTAACATAAAGTAATATGAATGATAATTGGGACAAGACACAAGTACCTCCAGACTATGGCCGAACTTCCAGAGACGCACTTTAACTAAACTAATGTACTATTACCCTCCGAACCCATTTTTTCGTAATTTTGTATACTTTTTTGGCTTATGTAGCATTCAAACATCTTCCACGCGGCTTAATACCTGGAGTTACAGAGTGTGTCACGTAAGCCAAACGAGTTCGAGGAGATAATAAGACTTTAGTTTAGTTAAGATATATCTCTGAGATTTTGATCATAATCTAGAGTAACCTAAATTAGCAGAAACAAACAGAAGAAGAAAAAATGTGGTTCACTTTCACTTGACATTTAGGGGTCGTTTGGTTTGAATTCAAGTTATGATGAGATTAATTATGATGGAATAAATTATGATGAGATTAGTTATGATATGATAAATTATGATGGGATTATTTTTTATTGAGCGTTTGGTTTGTTGTATTCAAAATAACAAATTTTAAGGACAATTTATTTGTTTACGAAAATGCTCTTCATGAATGTAAAAAGTGATGTAACAAATGGATTGAAAGAGACATTTTTGTCATTTACTTATTTTATCTCGGGATAAGTTATTCTGGGATTATTATACCACCCAAGGGGAGGGATAACTTATTCCGATACTAATTATTAATCCCGATATAAGTTATCCCAAACTTATCAACCAAACAACAAATTAAATGGTACTATAATTTAATCCAAGACTATTTGGTACTAAAGAGTTTTGGTACACAACTACCATTCCAATTTCCACCATTTCTTATTAGATTATGTCTTGACTCCCTCTTCCAATCTCAGCCTTTCTCTCTCCCTGTCTCCACGTTTACGCATTTTTTACTGAATTGGAGACCCATCCTCATTCTTCCATTATTATTCATTTTTAATTACTAAAGTATAATTTATATGTATATTTTTTTCCCAATAGTAATCTGTATAAACTTTAGATGATAATCAAATTTATATGTCGCACTCCTTTTCTTTCACCAAGAACTTCATTTTTTAGCTCAAAACGTCACTTCTTGTCTTGCCGTCCAGTGAAACTCAGTTTCTGCCAAAATCAAGGTGACCCCTTTTTCTATTTTTCTATTTTTAGTATACCATTTTGTGAAAGTTTCAATCTTGCTTAAGTTTAATCAATTATTGTCATTATTTTAGGCAAATTGTCCAAGATTAGGTCAGCTTTTTCCATGTGTAACGATTTTTTTTGTGAATATTTTAGGCAAATTGTCAAGGTTAGTAGATAGTTGAGCTTGATTAGGCTTGGTGGGAGTCTATTAGCATCGTATTAGTCGTATACATGTAGTTTCTTGCTTTTGGATATATGTTATCATCTGTTGTTATTGTGTTTCACTTACCACATTATTTGGTTGTTGTTACTGTTCTTATTGGTGAATGCTATGTACTTTACTGATTTCCTTATTAATTGACATGTTTCTGTACTGTTTTTTTTTCCGTAACTCTTTTTGATTTGTTGCACTTGAGTCGAGCGTCTTTTGGAAACAACTTTTTTACATACATGAGGTTAGAGGTAGGGGTGGAATTACACTGGGTATGTTGTTGTCGTCATCAAATATTTAGCTATATTTTAGTTTCTTTGATTGACCCTTTTGTGATTTTAACTTTGTGAACAAGTCTAACCATTTTTTTTTTGTGAATATTTGAAGGCAAATTGACCAAGATTAGGTGTGGAATTAATCTAAATACAAGGTCATCAATGAGTTGCTCTGCAACTCCGGCAATGGCAAAGGAGAAAGAAATGGTACAAGTGGATAGAATATTAGCTGCAAAAGAGGATGACTATGGTGGGGTGACGGTTGAAATGACTAATGAGCCATTGGACCCTTCTGTCTTTGCTTCTTTGCTTAGAGCTTCACTTTCTCATTGGAGACAACAGGTAGTACAAATATACTCCCTTCATTCACTTTATTTGTTTGGTTTTGACTTGACACGGAGTTTAAGAGAGTAAAGAAGACTTTTGAATATTGTGATCTTAAGCTAAATATATGTAAAATGTACCGAAATGCCTTTTAATCTTGTGGACTTAAACATGTCATGTGGAAAGTTAAAATTAAAAAGTTTCCAAAAAAGAAAGAGATATTCTTTTTGAAACGAACTTAAAAAGGAAAGTAAGATAAACAAATTAAAACGGAGAGAGTATTTTGTTTTTGGATCACTGTTCAGATTCTACTTTTCAAATGTCACTGAAGTATTTAATCATAAAGTTAGTCATGTAAGATTCCCCTTGGTAGTGAATTTGAGCAAAGATATATTCTTCTTTTTTTTGGGATCCAAAATAAAGGTGGCGAATAAGTTGAGAAAGGAAGATTCCTTTTCTTTTTTTTCCTTCTTCTTAATCATTCCCCAAGTCTTAGTGGATAGAGTTATCTAAAACTGTGTGTGGGACGTAGCAAGTATCCAATGGAATAATTGAGTTGTGCAGAAGGTGGCCCGGGTTACCACCATTGTAAAAATAGAAAGAACTTTTTTCTGTGTGTCAGGCCTACTTCGTCGTAAGTGTTGCAGGTTTTTGAATGGTGTCTCCTCACCCAAAGTTAACAATAAAGTTGGCGAAAGGTTCTTTTATCTTAACATAGTAGTACTGCACCTAAGGGTGGGGAAATCCTTGGAGACCAGCGATCAAATTCCAACAGACTTATTTCTATCTGTCTAAGTTTTGGTAAGCAGAATTTCTTGATAGATGTCTTGATGCGAGATACCAGGTACTCGATAGAATAGTCGAGTGTGCGAAAGTTGTCCGGACACAACAATTATGAAAGAATCATATAAAACTGTTGATGAGTTATTTTTCTTTTTTCCCTTAATGGGTGGGTGGGGCTGAGAGACTGCTCTTGAGTTGCCACATCTTTTGCTAAATCTAAATCTGGTAGGTTTGTTCTCTATGACTGCAAAAACAAAAGAAAAAAAATGTTCCTTTCATGCACATCTTCATTTGTTTTGCTCCTTAACATCTAACCCTTCTGTTTCTTGCTCCTGGACATCTTAAATCACAAATTTAGGATTGTTTTACAGTTTAACTGTGGTTGAAATGTAATTGCATAAAATTTTAAGATGTACCCATTTATTTTGTGGGAGGGGGGTTGGGGTACATTTGAGTGCTCGAGATGCTAGCAATACTTCATGTTTGTCTAGAGTAAAAATAGAAGCAGAAGAAGAGGACTCTTTGTGTGTTGTCATGAGGCTATTAATTCAACATCACCTGAGCTGATGTTATACCTTATGTGTTAGTCTATTGTGCATGCGGTGACTTCGTCCTTGAAAAAATGTTGTGGAACATTTAGTATACAATCTGCTGAACACCAGCTCATTCACAACTATACAAGTAGGAACTGGTGTTTGAAAGATGTTGTGTCATTTCACACTGCCAAATTCAGGGCTTCAAAATTAGTGATTGGTTGGGGGTGGGGGGGTGGGGGTGGGGTACTCGAATCTATTAGAGAATAGAGATACCTGTCTTTGAAAAGGCTGATTGAGAGGAATCCTACGTCTACCTGAACTTTCACCTTGTTGGTGAGAGTTCGATTCCCCATCTTGTAATCCCCTTCCCCTACCCCTTTTGTCAAAAAGAAAAATAGGCCGATTGTATTGCCATGATTAATTGGGAGTCTAAATTTCTATAGCAAGATTTTGATTCATATTTCATCCTTAATAATAGGTGGACATATTTGCAGGGTAAAAAAGGTGTTTGGATCAAATTGCCTATTGAGCTTGTAATGCTTGTTGAACCTGCTGTCAAGGTAAGTTTGTTTCTTTTTTATGGTGGTTAAATTATATTGGCTTGAATCGATGTCAATTTCTGATACAATTATCCTATTGTTTTGCAGGAAGGATTTATTTACCACCATGCAGAACCAAAATACTTGATGCTTGTGAGTTGGCTGCCTGAAACTGCTAACACTATTCCAGCAAATGCTACACATAGAGTGGGTATTGGTGCTTTCGTCGTGAATGAAAGGAATGAGGTATATTTTGGTGTTACTCCTTGTATTTTCGTCTTAAATCCAAATAACTGAAGTACTAATAGAAGGGACAATAGCGCCAAAGACAAAAGCAGAAGATAGAAAGATTGAAGAAGACAGTCAAAGAAGGCAAAAGTTGTAGATAGCGACCGAGAAAGTGTGTATAACTGTGTAAGGAGAGAATGCCTGAGATATGTTAAAACTTGTATATGTCAAGGCTATACTCATGGCTTGTTACTGAAACTAATGGTACCTTATCTAGTGAAATAGAAATAACATTACTGGCGTAATTTCCTTGTACAATTGGTTTATTGAACTTATTGACCTTGTCAAGAAGGTGAATTCAGTGTGGAGTGTATGACGATATATTTTTCTATATATAGCACGTTACGTTTTCATACCTCAACCCTCTCTTGCTTGAATATTTTCTTTAAATGTCATTTAGTATGTCAGACCACCTTACCCCACCTCCTGTCTGTTGGATACTTGCACACTTTCTTTCTTCTTTTTCTTTTTTCCGGAGAAGGGTTTTGCTTTCTCCATGTAGATCATTCAGATAGTTTCCAGCTTACGTGCATTTCTATACTTATATACATCTATCTGGCTATGTATGTATCACAACACATGTTGTTTTTTCTAAAAGAAACTTAAATTAAGGTATCATAGTGCATGTTAGTTATTGGAGTACTTGTAGTGATAATTTTCTTTAAAATCTTAGGTGCTAGTTGTCCAAGAAAAGAGTGGACGATTCCGTGGAACCGGTGTGTGGAAGTTTCCTACCGGAGTTGTTGATGAGGTATGTGTAAATGAAAACTTCTATGCCATATAAAAAAGTCTTAAGTAAAATAGCGGAAATCTAAAGCAAATGAGCTGCAAGAATATTTGCTATTATGTTGAATTTTTCATCCACAGGGTGAAGATATATCTGATGCAGCTGTCAGAGAAGTGAAAGAAGAGACAGGGGTGAGAGAGAATTCAGTTGTTAATATTTTTTACGGTTGAAAAAACTAGTTATTCCAAATATTAGTTTGATTCGGGATATATAGTAATAGCAGTCACTTACTTGGTATCCATTGATACAGGTTAATGCGAAGTTTGTAGAATTACTGGCATTCAGGTTCTCTTTCGCTGCCTTAAATGTACTGCATTTTTGATATTATGTACGTATATAGGGGTGTTCTGGTGTCTATGCTTGTTCCCTTTTGATTTGAATGCCAACAACATAGTCATTGAGAGTATCACGATGTTACTTGTAAGGAAATGGATCTTGGGCCTAACTCAACCCCAAAAGCTAGCTTGTGAGGGGAGGATTGCCCAAGACCATTGGGTTCTCATCCCACAAATAGGGATGGCAATGGGGCGGGTTGAAGTGGGTTTCTTAAAAACTAATGTGGGGCGGGTCGGGTTGTGGGTCTAGGCGGTTTTATGAGGGTTCAAACTTAATTTTAACTTTTTACATGTTATAAGAGTTATAGAACATTATTTATTAAGATTATTTCTTTAACGTTACTAAAATACTCAAGATACTAAATGAAAATGGTTCAATAAAAACTATTACGGTTTCTTACATGCTTCCCAATTGACCTTTAAAAAATAAAATTTTAAGTTATTATCTATTAAATCAATACAACTTAATAAGAAAATGAATTTATTTATGAATTTCATTTTTAGCATCAAACTTAAATGTAAAAGGAAAATATTCAAAAATTTATGCGAGGCGGGTTTATGTGGGGTGGGATGGGGTGGGTTGGAAATGAAAAAAATTGTTATGTGGGGCGGGTTAAATTTTTTGCAGGTTAAGCTCAACCCCCCCCCCCCCCCCCCCCCCATTACCATCTCTACCACAAACGATGTGGAACTCCAACATTTCCCCCAATAGGACTAGACATTTGGAGCGCGAATTGGAAACAATGAATTAGGATGAGCCCGACTCTCTCACCATGTAAAGAAATGGATCTTGAGCTATCTTTTAGGCTTAACTCAACCCCAAAAGCTAGTTCATGAGGTGAGGATTTCCCCAAACCATATAAAGAGCCCACTCACTCCTTTGATCCTCCATGTGAGACTCTTCGTGCCTTTTCACAATTTGCTTCTTATCTCGATAAAGCTACTCAGAATCACTCCCCCCCCCCCAATCACGCCCAGAGCTAGACAACTGGTGTGTGGACAATTTAATATGTGGGTCCAACACCGGATATGAAAATTGGGATGGGTTGTGCTCTGATACCATGTAAAGAAATGGATCTTTGGCCCTTTACCAAAAATAAGAAATGGATCTTCGGCCCTTTACCAAAAATAAGAAATGGATCTTGGGCCTAACTCAACCCCAAAAACCTTAGCTTATGAGGGAGGATTCCCCAAGACCATATAAGGATTCCAAGGATTCCATGTTCTCATCCCACATATTATTAAAAGCTACAATCTCTTCTTTTTTACGTAACAATATGAAACCTTATGTTGTCCTTACATGTTTGGTCTGTTCATCCTTACTGCATTTCATGTGTATGAACAATGACTTTATTGAATTGCAGGCAAAGTCACAAGTCATTCTTTGACAAATCAGATCTATTTTTCGTCTGCATGCTGCAACCTCTTTCCCATGATATCCAGATGCAAGAGAGAGAAATAGAGGCAGCCCAGGTACATGCTGTTTAAAATAATATTCTGAACTAGGACTTTCTATGTCAATGCTATTAAATAAATATGACATAATACTTAAACGGACACTCAAATTTGACCTCAGCTGGCAAGCAAACACTCCAATTTTCAGAGGGCACATCTAGACACCTCAACTTGGATTCGATTGTCAACTAAACACTCCAATTCATCTCCATTGTGTCTCATGGAGACCTGATGCTGACGCCGCACATAAATTTTATAGGTGTCTAGATGATCATTTTGTAAGTTGGAGTGTTCAATTGACAAAATGGAGATGAGTTGAGGTGTCTAGATGTGCATACTCGCAGTTGGAATGTTGACTTGCTAGTTGAGGCCAAGTTTGAGTGTCTGTTTATGTATTATGCCAATATATAATGCTCTTAGACTTCACCATTTCAGCAATTCCCCTTTTCCCCTTCTCAGTCCATTAGAAGTTCCAGGAACCTGAACAAACAACATTTTCCCCTCTGAGCAGATCTTGCAGTTTCTGTAGAATTTTTTTAGCTGAAATCATGTGGTTTTGCTGTTGGACAAAGTAATCAAGTAGAAACAATTGACATGAGCTTTATTGAAGGTGAATGAAGGAAGTTAACTTGGATCAATATAACTTACTCTTAGAAACTTATGTGCAAACTTTACCTATTAAAAAAGAATATGAGCAAGCTTGCACCTAAGGGTGGGGAAAAATGGCCAATCAAGTGGGTGAAAATCATAGGGGGCTGGGATTCCAAGTTCGATTTCTTCTCATTTGCCTAAGTCCTGGTGGGTAGAGTTACCTGGTGCCTATAGTGGTGGTAGATAGTAGGTACGGATGAAATAGTTGAAGTGTGCAAATTGACATGGATACCATCATTATAAAACTTTTTTTTTTCAAAAAGAAATTTATGTGCAAACTTGTGTATAAGCAAAGTTCATATGCGTCAAATAAGCTGTTCAGAGCTGCACGCCCCAAGCTCGTGTTTTTTCGTTAATACTTTTTGTTTGTCCTCTACTTGCAGTGGATGCCATTTGAACAATATGCTGCTCAGCCATTTATCCAAGGACATGATCTTCTCAGATACATCTCTGACATATGCTCGGCGAAGATGGAGGGTAGGTATACGGGCTTCTCACCAGTTCCTACAGTAACCGGTTTTTCTGCAAAGAAAACCTACTTGTACATGCACAGCAATGTTGGAACAACCAGTATGCAACGACCCCTAATGTGAAAAAAATTGATTCTTCCCTCTCCCAAAAGTTGAAAAAGGAAGAAATATGGATAGAAAGTTCGAGTCACTGTGACTTCAATGAAGTTTATAAAGGTGCAATTCTTTTTTGGAATAAACATGGGATCAAAAGTGTTTTGTGATGGGAAAATTGGCTTTCAGGTTTACATTTTTGTATGTGATACATGATGCTTCAAGTGTACATCAAGAATTATTTGTGTATTCAAGTTTCTTTGATTGACCTTTGTAACTATCATCTACTTATCAATTATTTGTTGTATGTACTCTTGGCTCATGACAAGCATACCTATTTGAAGAATGAGCCTGCGGCTCATAGGCCACTTGGTTAAGTAACCTATCAGAGCCGTAGTGAAAGCGAGTCTTCATAGGGCAATTGTCACCTTAAAAGTGAGCCTTCTAAGGAATGTCAAGTTGTTTGATTACGAATCCTTTGTTCATGAATGGGATGTGCGATGGGATCCCTTCCTCAATGAGGATTGCTAAAATCATCTTTTTAAATGAAAAAGATGACGTTCAAATGAGGAAAGACTTACGGTGTATACATAGACATTCAGAGACAAGCAAGGGTGTAGTAATCGATGAAATTCTTCAAGTCTAGATATACAATTCCGATACGAGGGTGGACGTAATAAACGTTAAAATGCTTTGGGGCTAATATATAACTCTAGATATATAAAATGAACAAGTAATAAGTAAAATCAAATATAATCAAAGAAAAACCACTAATAGCAGTAATAAAAGTGGTTACCTTGTACTATCATTTTTTAGGAAACCTCTTTTGTCTCATCAACAAATTGATTGATAGAATAGACACAAACAAGAAACGCTTATTAGACTTAGTACGCCTAAGGGCCCAATTTGATTTTGTAATCCTCAAGATGGCCACCATAACATGTTTTCAGTTTTTTTTATTCGGTAGCTGATATTTATATTAGGGCTAATTAAATCTGCATTCGCACATTGTGGGTTCTATTTCTGGGGATGTTGCTCCAACAATTTTTTCATTACCAAAGACTCAAACTCGAGATTTTTGATTAAAGATGAAAAAATCTCGTATCATCTCACCACAATCCAGACATGTTCGCCATAATAATACTCCCCCGTTCATTTTATTTGTCACTTTGAACATATCAAGAAAGATAAAAAAAAAAATTCTTATTTTACCTTCAACATCAATTACTTATTCGCCGAATCGTTTTTCAAGACCTAAATTCATATATCAATTAATATAAATATTGTGATAACTATTCATATTAATTATTGTTTGTTAACGAGCACGTAAAGTTCCAAGTAAATAAGTAAAAGTGAACGGAGGGAATCGTTATGTGGCAAATGGTGGACAGATATTTGGTCATTGTGGCTCTCATTGGACAACGACTTTGCATTAACTTGTCCACAAGTACTCAAATGTTGAAAAGGATGTGCAACAACCCTTTGAGCATCAAAGATCCAAGGTGGAAAAGTTTTGTTGGATCCATTTTATATACTAAATTATGTTAATTTATTATGATTAAGTGATGATTTGAAGTAAATTACGTAATAATTATTAGTTTATTACGGTTATGTGATAAATATTAGGTAAAGGGATTAAACACATTCACTTATTACTTAGCAATTTACTCCCCTCTTAAGTTATACATGATGTACACTTAATCACTAATACATGATGCATCAAGGGTATATCAAAATTGAAGTCACCAACGAAGGTTGTGGTAGAGTAGTAAGTATTCTTTAATTCTTAATTAGATGTTTTGATTTTGAGTTCCCCTAGGTATTGAGTCACCTTTGTTGGGAGACGCTTTATCCTTAACGTGGAAGGCGTGAATCTCGATTTATTCGGGCTCCAATACGAGTATCAGACACTGAACGAATTTATTATACACCTCAATTAGTATTTGATGGTGCGTGGTATACACTCTCTTTCTTAATTTAAAAATGGTGTCAAATGACACTCCACAGTCCACACTGATAGTTAAAGAAATGAATTGGATTTTTTTTTTAAAAAGACAATGGTTAAAAAGAATCAGGTGCTTGTGTTTCTTTGAAAACTAATTATCAAAACATGCCCCGAAATTAATGAGTAATCTGCTATGTGGAAAAATTATTTTGGGCAAATTAAGTTACCATGCGTATTTTGATAACTGTTATTCAAAAACTTAGTCTTTTCAACTTCGAATTATGTTTTAGTAAAATAGTTGATGATGGTTAGATAAAAAAACATATACCTCATATGTTCTTTTTTTGTTTATTATTGTCTCTATTTTTACGATAATTTATCAAAAACAGTCTCCTTACATAGATATGATACGCTATTGTACTTTACTAAAATTTTAATAAATATAATTTAGCATAAATTTTGGTACAAGTAAGTTTTTACGTGTTGTTAAACTTGAATTATTATATGCATAAACACAAGCAATTAAATTAGTTTCAAATTCGTACACACATGACACATATTTGCTTTCACCTGTGCCTTTCTTTTACCGGCTATTCTGTGTGTTCCTTACTTCACTCATCTTGCAAAAACTCAATTATCTAATCTTTAATCCCATTATAATCATAGAGAAAACACAAATACAAAGCCAATTAAAATCCCAATTTTTTTTTTTTAATCTGGTTACTTCTTGTCCTTAATAATCATATATAGTGGTGGTGGGTGAAATGTATTAATAAAAACTATACAAAGAAAGAATCTTTTTTGTAGATTTGAAGTGGGTTTTTTGTGGGTGGTGTTAAAGATTCAAGAAAATGGGGAATGTTAATGGAAGAGAAGAAAATGAGGGCAATATCCCATCTGGGGTTGAAGGGTTGATTCTGGTGGGGTCCAAGATATCATGGCCGTTCATCAGGTTGATGGAGAGTTCATGGGTCAATCTCCACCGTCCAGTCCTAGGGCAACTCGTTCACCTTTGATGTTTCGACCTGAGGTAAGTTTGTTAACCTTTTTAGCCTTTATTGGAAATGTGGGGTGGAGGGGTTGTTTTATTTCTTTTTTGTTTTGTCTTATTGTTCTTGATTTTTTTTTGTTGTATTGATATGAAGTGCTTCATGTAGCTGGATTTGAGGTATATTTGTTGTTTGTTGCTTATGTAGGTGTAAAGTTCAAATCTTTTTATGTTTAATTGGTTGAAACAAGTTTGGGATCGCGGGTAGTGGTTGTTGTTGTTGTGCTCGTTTTTGGTGTAATGTTTTAATCTTTGTCTATCTAATTGATTGGAATGAAGTGGGTTCAAATGAATGAATATTGAGGATTCATGTAGCTGACCTCAACTAGTTAGGATTTAAGGCATATTTGGTGTTGTTTCTTATGTAGGTGTAAAGCTCAAATCTTTTTCAGTTAATTGGTTGAAACTAGTTTAGGATTGCGGCTTAGTTGTTGTTTTTAAAATCTTTGTCTATCCAATTGCTTGGAATGAAGTGAATTCAAAAGAAGCGAATGAATAATGAGGATTCATGTAGCTGACCTCAACTAGTTAGGGATTTGAGGCATATTTAGTGTTGTTGCTTATGTAGGTGTAAAGTTCAAATCTTTTTCTGTTAATTGGTTGAAACTAGTGTGGGATCGCGTTGTTGTTGTTGTGCTTGTTTAGGTGTAATGTTTTAATCTTTGTCTATCTAATGGCTTGGAATGAAGTGGATTCCAATTAAGCGGATGAATATTGAGGATTCATGTAACTGACCTCAACTAGTTAGGATTTGAGGCATATTAGTTGTTGATGCTTATGTAGGTGTAAAGTGATCTTTATAATGTTTAATTGTTTGAAACTGGTCTGGGATTGTTGTTTAGGTGTAAAATTTTAATAGTTGTCTATCTAATTGCTTGGAATGACGTGTTTTCAGATGAAGTGATTCATGTAGCAGACCTCAACTAGTTAGGATTTGAGGCATATCAGATGTTGTTGATTATGTAGGTGTAGAGTGATCTTTTTTCTGCTCAATTGGTTCAAACTGGTTTGTGATTGCGATGTTGTTGTTGTTATGCTTTGTTTAGGGGTAAAATTTTAATTTTGTCTATCTAACTGGTTGTGCCTTATAGTGACTTGGGTTCAAATAAAGTGAATGAATATTGGGGATTCATATAACCGACCTCAACTAGTTAGGAGTTGATGCATATTAGGTGTTGTTGCTTATGTAGGTGTAAAGTTCAAATCTTTTTTCTGTTTAATTGGTTGAAACTTGTTTGGGATCGCGGCATAGTGGTTGTTGTGCTTGTTTAGGTGTAAAGTTTTAATCTTTTGTCTATCTAATTGCTTGAAGTTTGTGGAATCAAGTAGGACATAGACTGGATCTGTTTTGTGGTACATACATGAATGGTATAGATGGTTGGATCTGAATAAAGGTCATTTCTTAAAATTGCTGTAGTTTTTGGCAAAAACTTCTAGTTCTGAATTCTGATATCTGAGTTGTTTTTGAAATGTTAAGGCTGTGTGATCGTAAAATTGTATCTTTTTCTTAAGTTGATTTAAACTGTCTTTTTAGCATTTCACACATGAATGTTGCTATTATGCATTGATGGTTATAGATCTGAATGAAGGTCATTACTTTAAATTGCTGGTATTTTATTTTTTTTGATGAAAACTATCTTCTGAAATCTGAATTGCTTTTAAAATGTGAAGACTTCCCGTTCACCTTTGATGTTTCGACGTGGGGTCAGTTGTTACCCTTTGCATTCTTTCTCGGAAATGAGGGTTGAAGGGGGGTAGTATTTCTATTTTCCCTTCTTTTATTTATTTTTCAAATATTTTTGAGTATTAGAGTGATGGGTTGAAACAATATGAAATGAGTGTGAAGGACTTATATAACTGTACCGAAGTAGTTTCTGGTTGAGATGTTAGTGTTGTTGCTGATTGTGTAGGTTGATTTAGACTGAGATTTATTTTGTGGTTCATATTCAAACTGTGAATTTTGACGGTTAGCTCTGAGTAAAGGTTATCACTTTAAATTGCTGTATTTTTTTTAATGTAAGTGAAAACTGTTTAGTTCTGAAATCTGAATTGTTTTTGAAATGTTAAGGTTATAAGCTCAATTGGTTTCTTCAAAACAAACCTTTTATACATCAGTAATATATGGTTTATCTGAATTGCTTCCTTAAGCAATTGCTAAACTACGTTTTCCACTTTTTGATGTTCGGCTAATGTTGTTGGCAACTAGCATGGACTTAATTTTTCTCATGTTGATTTCTCTGCAAAGAGATGATTTGTATGATCGACATCATTTGGTTTTTAAATGTTTGCCCCAGATGCCAGTGGTTCCTCTACAGAGACCTGATGAGGGGCACGGCCCAAGCATTTCATGGTCGCAAACCACCTCAGGTTATGAAGAACCTTGTGACGAGCAAGGAGTTCCAACACTTATATCTTGGACTCTTGATGGCAAAGAAGTTGCTGTGGAGGGATCATGGGATAATTGGAAGTCAAGGTTATAAGTTTTACTTTTCTCATCCACATTCTACAGCAAAAAGACAATTTCCTCATCCATGATCTCTATTTAGGCATCAAGGTTGCAAGTTTAACGTTAAAAGTTTCAAACTCATTTTCTAGGATGCCTCTGCAAAAATCAGGGAAGGATTTCACCATTTTGAAGGTGCTTCCTTCAGGGGTATACCAATATAGGTTTATAGTTGACGGACAATGGAGGTGTTCCCCTGACTTGCCATGTGTTCAGGATGAAGCAGGGAATACTTACAACCTTTTAGACATGAAGGTACATTTGTCATCCTGTTGCTTCTTTTTCAAAAAAAATTTTCATCCTGTTGTCATGGTTATTAATACATTTTCGGTAATCCATTGAATTCTAAGTCTAGTTTTGTGTTGTACGGTTTCTTCGAGGCTCCTGAAAGTCTGAAACACATTACTGGATATAATACGTTAGTCAAATTAACTTCACCAAGTTAAACTATGTTGTCTATAAAAACATGGGAGGAGTAATTATTATTATGTGATTGCCTGATCGGAAGCTTCATGCTTCTTCATGAATACAAGTTTTTGTTAGATCTGTGTGCTTAATCCGGTAATTTATGACACTTCAGAGAGCTAGCCTACATGTAATAGGTAGTGTCTACCTTTTATACTCACATCTCAAATATGAAAGATGACTTCAAACATTATGAGACTGAGACACTTCTGAATGAGTTGTTTCTTCATGGCTCATTCTTATACATATAGTTTTTTTTTTTGATAAAAACATATGGTTTTAGATAATTGGAATTAAGAGGTTTTTGAAATTCTGTTTGGCTCTTCTTCATAGATCAAAAGCTCCTCATGGATTGCACTTATGCCTGTGTTCTTCAGCTGTCTAAGGATTTGACTTTCAAAAATGATATGGAAAAAGATTTTTCGTGTCTGTTGGTTGAATCTCTGCTGAGTTTTGCTTTATCTTAGACTGAACCTTAGCTGTCACTCAAGTGTCTAGTTTGTTCATGTCTGTGTGATAGAAAATATGGTGAGAGATCATTAAGTTAATGCCTGAGTATGTCCTTTGTTTTCTCAAAGAAGAATCATAGGGAATTTCACCAAGATTTTTTTTGAATTGCCCATTACATTTTTTACAAGTCATTATGTTGCTTAAAGGATATGTTAACTCATTTACCTTAAAAGAGAAGTTCTAGTCTTTGATGGCCATATGGTATGGCTAACGTTGTGGGTGTTCTCCAATAATCTCTCTCTCGTCGAGTCACTGTATCCAGTGTAAACTTTTTGACATCTTCAATTTTTCTCCCATAACGTCTATCTTAATTTCTGTTATTTTTTAATTATTTTGTGCTTTTGCATAGAATATGTGTAAGAGTTTTTAAACTATTTATTGTGATATTTTATGTTTTTTTGTGTAAAACTAGAATACCTTCTCATTTGTCTGTATGGGGGTAAGTCGTTTGAATGGGGAAAGCTGTAAAGTGTTGATACCTGTTTCTTTTAGATTCAAAGTGAAGAGATGAACTTTTTCTTTGGCGAAATTTGTTCGTTAGTGCCTTATGCAGCAGCCTAACCTCAGTGGTTATTTTCACAGGCGTATAGGTGTTACTGATAATTTTCCACTTTAGACCCATATTTTCTTCTCTGTTTCTTCTCCGTTCAGTATTGACATCATGGCTCATCACACGGTTTGCCTGCAAGCAAATGGCCACAAACCTATTCTTTTCTATTATTTTTCATTCTCATCCACCAAATCTTGGATCGTTTAGGCCGCAAATAGGGTATATTTAGTATGTTCATTTATTTTTATAGGTCTAACACATTTTTCACATATTGATTTGCTGCTATTTCATTACAGGCTTGTAAACCTTTTACTTATACAACATAACCCCAACATCCCACTTTGCAAAGAGAAGTCTTGGCTGTTTACGAATCCTTTAGTTTCTGTAATTATATGATTCCCTTTTTCACTTTTATGTCCCATAACTTGATTTGTTTCTAGAGTAGATATTCATGTTAGATTAAAGGGCATTCAAGCACTTCGATGAAAATCAATGACACTTGTGGAGTAACAGTTAAATTTGCAGCAAAAGAAGTGTGATCCACTCCAACTCTTTTTTATATTGTAAACACCAGCACTCTAGAACCAATTGCGGAGGAGCCACCTTATGCTAAGGGGTGTCAGCCGGAAAATTACACTGTTTAATTCGGTCAAACTTCTAGTTTTATGTATATATACTCTAGGTTGACTCCCCTTATTTTCTATGTGTGTGTACTTTTTTTTTATATTGTGACACCCTTTTGTCCAGACCCCTCTTCCGGGACAGTTGTTTCACTAGACTATCCCACCTTTGTGGCGTGGTTCAACCAACCTTTGGTTGGATTCGAGTCAAAGGGAGCAGAGTGAGAGAGTTACACCAGTGAATCCTGGATAGGTGGGTTCTGAGGGGCGGGGTTTACCCTATCAAAAAGAAAAAGTACAAGCTTGATACTCGACTTTGTTGATGACACGGATTGTTCTACGATTAGTGTTAGCTAAACCTTTCTTGAATGAATCATCTCAGTCTTAGTCAACTTGCTAAGTTGCCTTTAGACTAATCTCACTCTGATGAAAGCTAGATTTTCCAGATGGGCATAGCACTCGTCATATCAACGTTTTTTCCTTTGCATTGACGTGCTATAACTTGACAAAGTTCTGTCCTTACCGACTGATGCAATGTGCAGGATTACGTTCCAGAAGACATTGAAAGCATTTCTGGTTTCGAACCTCCTCAGTCCCCTGATTCCAGCTACAACAACTTGCACCTTGTATCCGAGGACTACGCTAAGGAGCCACCCGTGGTCCCACCCCATCTACAGATGACGTTGCTTAACGTTTCTCCATCTCACATGGAAATTCCACCTCCGCTTTCAAGACCTCAGCACGTGGTACTTAACCATCTCTACATGCAGAAAGACAGGAGTACCCCTTCCGTGGTAGCACTCGGTTCAACTAACCGGTTCCTGTCCAAATACGTGACCGTGGTTCTTTACAAGTCGATACAGAGGTGATGATTCGATCAACCTGTCTTTACGATAGTCTTAAATAACTCGAATACTCGTAGCTCAATATTAGAAGTCAAGTTGGTTCATGTTTTCTGCAGTTAAAAGGCCAAAAAAAAAAAGAGCAATAGAGGTAATGTTTAGAAGTTTATATTGTAGCAAACGCTTGATTGTGACTTCCTCCATTTACTTTTCCATCTCTCATTTGCCCCTTTTTTCTTCTTTTAACATACAATTTGATCAATTCCAATTCTTTTTCTTTCCATCTTATGAACTAGATCTTATATGGCTTTGCTTTCTTTGATATTGCCCTATATGATCTACACCAATCGTAATAATATATCTAATGTAATCTTACAAATGGAGTCTGAAAAAAGGCGTGTCGTGATGTACGCAGACCTTACCCTGAGAAAAGTTGTGTTGTGGAGTAGCTGAGTTGTAGTTCTCAAAAGAGAATGTACAAACAATTTTGGCATAATACATCGATAACCTCTTAAATTAATAAATTTAATTTAGATAATTGAATTACTCATATCCCAATTTATGTGGCATTTTTCATTTTTCGAGAGTCAAACAGTTTAAATTTAATCGGGAATTTACGCATGAAATCTTCATAATTGACATCTAAAATATTTAAAGGATATATGAAAAATTTACGGTAAAAGATAAATTTGTTTAAATCTCAAAATGTCACATAAATTGGGATAGAGAAGTATAGTTTTTTCTAATAGAATATTTAAACATATGATAAAATATTTCTATTAAACACTTTCAATTTTAACTTTTCTTTCTACATGTCATTTCAAATACTCATAACATAGATAATTCGTTAATTATTTAAAATATATTACGTTCATACATCATCTTTAATTGAAACATCTATCAGGTTTTACCACTTATTAAGATTAATTTGTATAACTAAAAGAAATGTCATAATGAACGTTTGAAAATATATATACAAAAAAAACTTAAAATTTAAATTGGAAGTATTTGAATAAAAAGAAACTTAGTATATATTCAGATACTTAATTAAAATAAATTATAATTTAATTTTTATAAATATAATTTACTCACAAATTTAAAAGGCATTTAATGATAGTACTCAGCCAACAACTTTTATTTACTGTTTGGTCAGCCGGCCATTAGTATTAATTATTTCAGAGCTTTACATTAAATTCCTTCAGACATTTCATTTTCATTTGCCTGTTGCAATCGATTAGAATTAGTCGAGTCGATAAATTTTATATATAAAATAATTATATGAAAAGAAAATATTTTAAATTTTCGAAATTCATTTTGTTTACCCTTTATAAGTAATGAGGTCTTGTTCATTTTGATATTATCAATTTGTCTCGCCTGCATAAATTCGTCCCACATAATTTGCTTTTACCGAAGATCGTAAGAAAAATGAAACATAAATTAATATGTACATTGTTGCGTAGATGCACCGACAAAGAAAAATAAAGTGTAGTATATATTAAAAAAAAAATTGAAATCTATTAAAAAACATATGTGCTATGTTCAATGATACTAAACTTTTTTCAATTCTTTATATTATTATTTTTTTTGAAAAAGAAACTTTTTCTTCTTTTGAATGAAACTTATTTTTCTTATTTATTGGATATACATTTAACTTCGAAGCTTCAAAGCAAAACGTTAGATAGGACTCTTAATTTGAAAAAGATTTAAATTATATATGTTGAGAATAATTTTTTTTTGAAGTATTAATAATGCAGTTTGGTTTATGATATTGAATTTATTATTATTTGTTTTTATTAAATTACTAATTAATATTTATCATAAAGTATATTTATATTTCATATAAAGTGACTTAGCTTGATTGTGTAGTGAATAATATTTACCCCGTATATATGAAACTTAATATTTTAAATAAAATGTTTCTTATTTTTGTTTAATTTAAAGCTAATTACATGTGTCCATAACAAGTTATATTCAAATTTCTAAGGATTGTGACGGGATGAACAAAAATCTTTTATTCTTCGGCAAGCACTAGATATAAAAAACTAAATTCAAATTCTCATAGAGAGAGTTTGTTCAAATAAACCTCATATATGAACACAAACTGAATTAATCAAATTTCAATTTACGACTATCAAACATCATATCTTGCTAAAACATAGATCCATGTTTACCACACATTATCTAATCAAATTCAATTTCTCTCGATACATTCTTTAAAAGAATCCGATTCCAATAAATTCTTCTTGTTGATGATACATTTTCAATTATACTTGGTTTCAAATCTCAAGACGCAATCCTAAATAGAACGGTGAAATCTATCAAACTATAGTACCATAGGAACAAAGGAAATTTCCAGTGAAGCGGTGAAATGCATAGAGAACGAAAGCAGCTAACAACAAATTATACTTAGAGAACTTTTCTTTTGGAATGAGACTTCCCATGTGCAATGAAGTTCAAGCCTTTATTTGGTACTAGAATTCTGTTATCTGTACTGTCCAAAAGTGACAAAATGTGATAGTTAAATTCGTTTTAATAACTTAAAAAATATTCATGAATTTTTGGGAAGGAGAAAAAAGAATAAAATTAATTATACTTTAGTCCATGGCCATGGAGTTGAAAACTTTTAAAATGCTTCTTAGATATCTAAATAGAAAGAGTTTGAGAAAGACAGATATAAAATGAATTAGTTGAATGTGATTTATGAATAAGTTTCTCTCTCTTCTTATTTATTGTTGAAATTACTTTATTACCCCTTCCGTTAATATTATTTGTTCAGTATTTTTAAAATATATTTATTTATTACTTTTATTACTTTTAACATATCAAGAAAAGATAATTATTTTTTCGATTTTATACTCAACAATAATTGAGCTGAGAAAGAAAGGCATAAACCGCATTCACCGAATACGATTTATGTGTAAAATTCAATGTCTTCTTATTTATTGTTGAAATTACTTTATTACCCCTTCCGTTAATATTATTTGTTCAGTATTTTTAAAAAATATTTATTTATTACTTTTATTACTTTTATCATATCAAGAAAAGATAATTATTTTTTCGATTTTATACTCAACAATAATTGAGCTGAGAAAGAAAGGCATAAACCGCATTCACCGAATACGATTTATGTGTAAAATTCAATGTCTTCTTATTTATTGTTGAAATTACTTTATTATCCCTTCCGTTTAATCTTAGTTGTCCACTTTTTTTAAAATATAATTATTTCTTTTATTTATTACTTTTGTTATATAAAAAAAAGATTTTTTTTTCATTTTATACTCGACAATAATTGAGCTGAGAAAGAAAGGCATAAAACGCATTTGACGAATGCGATTTATGTGTAAAATTCAGTGTCTTCATTTTTATTGTTTAAATTACTTCATTACCTCTTCCGTTTAATCTTACTTGTCCGCTATTTTTAAAATATATTTATTTACTTTATTTATTACTTTTATTATATAAAGAATTTTTTTTTACCCCTTCCGTTTAATCCTATTTGTCCACTATTTTTAAAATATATTTATTTCTTTTATTTATTACTTTTATTATATCAAGAAAAGATAATTATTTTTTCATTTTACACTCAACAATAATTGAGCTAAGAAAGAAAGGCATAAAACGCATTCGGTGAATGCGATTTATGTGTAAAGTTCAGTGTCTTCTTATTTATTATTGAAATTACAATATTACCCCTTCCATTTAATCTTATTTGTCCACTAATTTTAAAATTTATTTATTTATTTTATTTATTACTATTATTATATCAAGAAAAAATAATTATTTTTTCCATTTTATACTCAACAATAATTGAGTTGAGAAAGAAATACATAAAACGCATTCGGCGAGTACAATTTATGAATAAGATTGTCTCTCTTCTTATTTATTGTTGAAATTATTTGATTACCCCTTCCGTTTAATTTTATTTGTCTACTATTTTTACAGTACATTTATTTCTTTTATTTAAAATGCATTCGACGAACACGATTTATGAATAAATTTTTGTCTCTTTTTATTTTTTGTTGAAATTACTTTCTTACCCTTTTGATTAATTTTATTTGTCCACTATTTTTAAAATATATTTATTTCTTTTAATCATCACTTTTATCATATCATGAAAAGATAATTATTTTTTCTATTTTATACTCAACATTAATTGCTTATATTTATGACAATCTTAGTATCTCAATTGATTAGCTACTTAAAATTCCACTTTATCGATCGAATATTCTATTCTCTAGATTAATAATTCCTCCTTCATTTTTCTTTTCTCAACCCACAATTTTATTTTTCTTATCTTTAAGAAAAGGTCGTGACTTCATGCTATAAATTGATGATGAGAGAACAAAAGAAAATGAAAGTTCAAGTTAAGCACGCAAGAAAATTGTCAAAAAGATCCTTTGAATAACTATAGAATAGTAAAAGAATCCTCTAGAATACCTAGTCATATAAACGTTTTTATTTTTATTTTTTATTTGATGTTAGATACCTACTTTAGATTCTCGATTAATTTTAATTTGTATCATGTAAGACCTATAGAAATAGCATGTAAAAAATATTTTTTAATAATTACAATAACGCCAACATATTATGTGTAGTCTCTCAAAATGAAATTTTGAGAGTATAGAATGTACGTAGATTTTATCTCAATCTTAGAGATAGAGAAGTTGTTTTGAAAAGACCCGGCTCACGAAAAAACAGTTCAAAACAATCCAGAAAAAGAAGTAACAAAAAAGTGAAAGCATAACAGAACATTCTTAACAATAACTACATCAAAATAATATAATAATTGAAATACTAGAAACAACAAATAATAACAAAAACTGAAAGACAAGAAACTATACGAGTAAAGTTACGATTAATAGTATAACGAGTAGCGAGGCAACTCACTACTATGTACTAACCTTTTACTCTGATCTATATATTTCAGAACTTTCTATTTAAGATCATGTCCTCGTAAGTTGAAACTGTAACATGTTGACTTGTCTAAACACATCTTCCCAATATTTCTTTGGTCGGCCTCTATCTCTTTTAAAATCATCTATAACCAAGCTTTCACGCTTTCACTCAACTTTCATATGTCTTCTCTTCATATGCTTGAACAATCTAAGTCCCACTTTTTATGGTCTTGTTCCTTATTATTAAAGAAAATATTGTAGTATGAAAGTAATTATATCTCTTTATAAGAAATATTCAAATTGAAGCATTGAAAGGCATTTGAGATCAATTGACCATACTACGCAAATCTCAAGAACCACAAAATAAGGTTAGTTATAGCAAGCAT